GAATGGCAAGGGCCCTGGGTATAACATAGAAAGCTAACCAAGGGGGACAGTCATGAATGAGGAGGCCACGAACTCCAGGAAGGGGCTCCATGGGATTTTCAGGGCCAGAGACCCTGCCACCATAGACAGTACTTATCCATATTTAAGAGTCCAAGAAGATGATCAAAATGTCAATACACAGAGAGCCCTTAATATTCAGCTAATCCCACTCCACTGTGCATACCTAAGCTGCCCCAAGTACCCCAGATGGCTATGTCCCAGCCTGTGGGTGCAGCCCCTTGTGTCCCTGCTGGGCACCTTCTCTCACTTGAGGCTCTTTTTTTTTTTAACAGGGTTCCAGCCCTAGAGGCCTTGTGCATTACATGATCAGATCACCACCTGATACTCTGTGACCCTCTCCCTCACATCTTCTCCCTAGTTACATTCCTTTATTTGTCGTCTTTGACTCTTTCTGTTCTACTGTCTTGTCTCCAACCTTTTTGAGTTGTTATTTTCAGCCATTTCAATCTCCATGGATATGGGTTGGAGAGGAGTAGAGTCTCACTTGAGGCTCTAACTCACATGTTCCAAATGTCCCTGTGGTGTGTCATGTCCTATCATCCAAGGACCCTGGAATGTTGCAAAATAACTGCCAGCATTCCAGCAGGCCATTGTCGCCCTGCTTAGCATGTCTCTTTTTTGTTCTAATTTTCAATTTTTCCTGTTCTTGAGTGGCTTCAGATAACTCTGTGGTTGCTCCATGTGTTTGCTCCTAAATTACGTCTTCACTAAAGACAGAATACTATTAGTTCAAAAGCTCATGAATGCCAAATCCAAACTTATTTATCCCTAATTATTTTAAAAATATAGATGAAAGTAGAACAATTCTCACCATTCATATCCCACCTGCTTTGGGCATCTAGCATCTAATGTCCAATTAAAAGATAGTGTGGTTAAGAGACCCCAAGGTGATACCACCCTTCAGATTTTTATAACCCCTGCCATACTATTAACTATATTACCTGGGCAAATAATATCCAGAGACACTTTCTCTGACTCTCTTTTTCCCCATGAGTTCACTTGAAATTCTCAACTTTTGGATTATGGCTCTTTGTCATAATTCCCTGTGCAGTTTTGGGCTGTGAAGGGTGTTGTTTTTTTCTTTTTCTTTGCTTTCTTTCTTTCTTTCTTTCTTTCTTTCTTTCTTTCTTTCTTTCTTTCTTTCTTTCTTTCTTTCTTTCTTTCTTTTCTTCCTTCCTTCCTTCCTTCCTTCCTTCCTTCCTTCCTTCCTTCCTTTCTTTCTTTCTTTCTTTCTTTCTTTCTTTCTTTCTTTCTTTCTTTCTTT